CAACTGTTCTGAAGGAAGATTTTCAAAAAATGACCGGAAGTGGTCGTACGCGCCGGCGCGTGATCTCACGCGCGTGAGATTATGGTGGCACGTGGAGGCGCGTGAGGTTGCTTCTGCCGGAGTTGTTCACTGGGGTTTGGTCGCCGGACAGTGACGACTCTTGTGGTAGTGTTGGATTTTGCACAACACTGACAGAAATGAAGCAGATAGAAAACAACCTTAAAAAATACTGATTTCTCTTTCCCGGAATCGCTGGAATTTATGCACAGCGATAAGTCTCTCACAATTGCTCTGATACCATGTGAGAAGGCACGGGAGAAAATATGTTATTGATATATTGAATGAATGAATAATACTACACAAGAGGTCCTTATTTATAGCTATACTATACAAGGACATACTACTCCTCTACCAATGTGGGACAATACTACACTATATACATGCTGTAAATTAACAAGTTACTTGTCCTCTGTTGCAAAAAGTATTTTAGAAGTATAAGTTACGAAGCTCTCTAGATATGAAGAGTTTTATCTTGGCCTAAGTAAAGACTGAATGAGAAGTTCCAATTCCTGAAAGGTAGATGGACCAAAAACTCTTTTAAGTTAGCGCCTGATCTATCTGTGGTTTATTCGATATTAATCTTGCTACTATGAAAACTCACACAGTGCCACTGCTTCCAGACAGGCTTATTCTGTGGCAGTTCTTGAAGATAGATGTTTTTTGGAGTGGTTTGTTAGAAGGGTGCAAGATCGAATTGTTCTTTGCACATTAAGGCAATTTCTGGTGAAGAGCTCAAATAATGCAAGGTTAGTCCTTATTTTATTCTTTATGCATGCAATTTGAGTTAGATCTTTCTGCAGAGTCGTCTCCCCCCCACCCAATTGTGTTAATCAGGATTTTAGCACTCAAACGCCCTCCAACAGATGATTTATTTGTACCTTAGGATGCACTGCTTGTATGCTACAGAGGGAGAGCTACGTCTCGTTTTCCATGCTTTTATTACATATCAAACGGGTTTTCGTTGCTTCCGAAGGACAAAATTAAGGAGTGTGGCATGGGGCCTATCTTAGGAATTACAAGTCTTAAGATAAGCAGCACAAGATGCAACTTGTTAATAACACACTAAAACAACTCAATTCAAGTAAGTCACAGAATTAAATCTCAAGACTAGTTGGAAAATTCTGCTCTACTAAAAAAGGTGTGAGTTATGCTGGTATGTGAGAGATCTGAGAAGAAGCAAGGGATGGATTTTTATCATGTGCATCTCTTTGAGGGGTTTATGGCTTTGGAGCAGCGCTGAAATATTGTGTTGAATGGGTGGTTTAGTAAGTGAGCTATTGGGATAAATATGAAACCTGTTTAAGAGTTCAAAGTGGAGTTCATAACTGTGACTTAACTATGTAATGGAATCTGAAGTGGTAGATGGAGTACAACTTTTCTTAATTATTTTCTTATATCTTTGGCTGTTAAATATTCTTGTCTTCCTCTATTCGTGTTGTGTGTGTGTGTGTGTGTGAGAGAGAGAGAGAGAGAGAGAGAGAGAGAGAGAGAGAGAGAGAGAGAGNGATATTCTCCGAGAAATCATTGATCAGAATCTTAATGTGAGTAATAGATTAGATCAATGAGTAACATAAGCCTACTCTGCTGCTATGGAAAGGTGATCAAAGTCTATATTTACATTGATATCATGTTAAGGAAGTCATTCTTCCTATCGCTGCGGAATGCTTTGAAATTAATGGAGTAGAAGAAGATGTGCTAAATTGTATGAATGTGATGAAAGGAAGAGAAGCTTCATAAATTGAATAAGGGTGGACTGAATATGTAAAATCCTAGTCCTGATTTTAGAAGGGACCGGAGATTTTTTCAGAAGGTGGAGAAAAGCTATAAAATTTATACATACGAAACTTCAATAACTTTAACAGATACAATGGGTATGCACACGTCAAGCCGACTCAAGAGAGCAGGAGATTGGTGATCATTACTCAGAAATATTTCAAGATGGGGGATGTAGAACATTGCCAATAAATTTCGAAGTTCATGTGGAAAGGAACAGATCAAATACAAAATGAACAAGGAAGCAGAATTATACCCGGGTTGCTGCCATGAAGAAGTGGCCCACAGAGAACCATCACAGAACACAGGGGAAAAGGGGAGCAAAATTTCAGTTGATAAATGGTCTATTAAATGAAGAATTTACACTGTGCGGAGATATTTGGTCAGAAGACTTGGTCATACCACTTAACATGACATCTTGAGTAGTTTTCCCATGTGTTAGAGATCTTTCTAAGACAGATTGTGTTTGCTGACAGGTAATAGACTGTGGTGGATCTGGGATTTCTAAACGATCGGTGCACCACTACCAAACATATAGTTCCTGGGACAGGGGTCGGGAAGAAATAGTTAGTGATTAGAAAAAGAATTACTTGAAAGAACTGAAAGAAACGAAAATAAAACTAAAAATGAACAAGTTCTGTATAGTAGATCGATCCTACTCCTGAAAGCAAATTAAACATACTGCCAACATAACCAGTGCTCCACTGAAGTTGCCGATTCATAACCATTGCACCACATTCTTGACAATGGTTCCCAATTGCGTTTGTTCCCAGAAATTATATATACTACTATATAGAAGTTGGTTCACTATGTGGAGTGTAGATACGCCACCGGTAATAGATTTAAAATGTTGGATGTTCGTATATTGTCTAGTTAACAAAAGCCGTTCATTAAACCCCCACAAATATATCTTATAGTGGCGTTGAGTGTTTTTTCTCTTGGTGTCTGATGTCACGTTTATTTGATCTCTTTTAGATTATGTACTTATATCTACTCAAATCAAACAGGCATTCATTTGAATACGTGGATAGAGAGGAGATGATAGTAGCCCATATGGTTGGTGGAATCGATGCTTTCATAAAGCCACCTCAAGGTTGGCCACTAACCAGCTCTGGTTTAACGCTGATATCTCTGAAGAGCTCAAGTCACTCCTCAAAAGAAATACCTTTGACCCTCCTTTGCAAGGTTGCGGTAAGTTGTTCATTGGTAGGGCTGTTGTAGACTATAGCTGTTTCAAATCAGTGCTGGAAAGTTTTGTGTTGACTATTGAAAGTCCTATTGGGTTTGGACTGTTAACCAAAAATAGATGTAACATTTACATCGTGAATGGTAATTTAACCTGAATTTGTATGGTCTGTAAGGGTTAAAGGGAAATGAAAAATATGACTACAAATTCTCAGTGCTCTCTAAGAATTAAAAAAGGTGGAAACAATGAGGTAATGTGCACCATGAAGCGACAGCTTTGAAGGGAAGATCGGTTTCACACTTGACCTTTGATGTATATGGACATGTAGCTCTTGTCATGTTTGACTCCAACGTCTGTGTTGAGCTAGTTTATTAACTATTAGTTTGAAAGAATGAGAAGTCTTTCTTTCCTTATCAAGTGCCTCTAACAACACTGATTTCCAGTAAACTTGTTAAGCATGCAATCAAACAAAAAAAAAAATTAATTTCTGAGTTCTCACATGAAAGGTCATTTCAGTTGAATGATTGTGCAGTAGTGATGCTATGTAATTCTGATTGGGACCTAGCACGCCATAAAAAAGGGAATTTAATTCAGATTGTTCACATGGAAGGTCATTTTAGTTAACATAATTGTGCAGTGCCGATAATACATAGTGCTGGTTGGGACCTAGCTAGCTCACTAAATTCCAAATTTTCTGATATTAGGTATTTCCTGCATAATAGGTTAAAGTATTCAAATGGTCCGCATAGCATTTTCCAATTGATAGGAAAAAGGTTAGAATGGGTTTATATGAATGCAAAATTTCATGCTAATGTTGTTTTTCTTGTGGAAAGAAAGGGAAGGCTGGCCTATTGTCTCTATGATGTTATGAGTCTAGTACAACCATAAAGTTAGAAAACTATTTGACAGATTTGGTACGATTCAAGTTTTTTGGCCTTCTGATCTTTGCTTCATTTAACGTCTTTAGGAAGTGGCAAACTCGTTTGATACAAATTCACGACAGACTATCTCAGTCTTCGCGGATAGAGTTGAAGAGATACTTATGCAGCAAATGAGTGCAGTAACTTCAAACTGAAAATATTCCAGAAGATGACTTCTTCCCTGCTCTGTCTGTACTCATTTTGGTAAGATTTAACAATGTCATAATACTGTTTACATTCAATAGTACTGACGCCAGCTGCTAAGTTCTCCGAATCACTCTGTAAATTTTCCAGCTATGGAGGTGGTTTCTATAAAAAAACATTTGAATTAGTATGTCCTAATTTATCTCACTGAATTTTTCAGATATTTGAACAGAAGTGGAGAGTTAGTATAATGCTGATGTAGGTTTCTCATAAATGTGTTAAAGTATCACTTGGATGTAAACCTTAACTCTAATGCAAATGATTATTTGTGTGAGCTTAGTATCATTATGGATGTATAACAGGATTTTTAATCATATCAAGGTATATAGCTGAGTCTACGTTTCTGTCATAGTTCCACCTCTACTGTTCTTCCCAGACATATTTCTGGGAATCTAATTTAACCTTATCAAAAGAGAAAAGTGAATCTAATTTAAAAAGGGCAAACCGGTGCACTAAGCTTCCGCTATGCGCAGGGACAAGAGTCTATTGTACGGAACCTTACCCTGCATTTCTGCAAGAGGCTGTTTCCACGAAAAGTGAATCTAATTTATTTAAAAATTATGTTAGTGCATCGGTACTTTAACAGGTTCAAAGAAGTATTTTGGTTTTCCTCTTCAAGAAAACTAAGAAGAGGTAAATTTTTAGCTCTAATGCCAAGATTAAATGGGCTTGCCTGATATTGTTGTGTCTCATTTACAGTAGATTAAATGTTTTAAGCCTAAAAGAGTATAATATATGAAAATTTCGACTACCCTGTAATGAGAAATGAACTCCACAAAGATGATGCAACTTCATTTGCAAACAATTAATATGCATTCTTTTCGGCTTATGTGTTCATATGTAGTGCTTTGTTGTTTTACTATTAGTTGAAATCTTACAGGTATTTACTTTGTGTTCCAACAATATGCATTTGTGTCACTAAAATATGGAATTTTGTCAATTAGGAACACTAATTACCTTCCTTTTATGCTTTGTTAAACTGAACAAGATATGCAAATTTCTACCAGTTTCCCCTTCTTTTAGCATAATTTTCCTACTTTCCAACAAGGGGCAAAAGTTACTAAGCTCATGCTAAAAGTAAATTTTAATTGAAACTAGTCAACAGAAAATCTCCAAGTTGGTAAGACTTCTTGGTAGGACTGGTAAAACAGTTTCAATAAGAAGTTGTTATCTCTGTAATCATTAATGAAGAAGTTTATCCAAAACCATATGAACACACAATACTCACTATAAATTGGACCAACAATAACAAGAAAACCAAGCATAACAAGAAACAAAAACATCATGCCTTCCTCATCACACTACTTAGTACTTTACTTCTGCTTACTTAGTTTCTTAGCATTTTCATCAGTTAATTCACAGATCCCCGTTCATTACCCGATCGATGTTATTGTGAAAAATGAAACTCCAAGTACAGCATCGGCAAGATGTTATATACATGGAATTGAGACTCGCGGCGAAATCATAATGACACCAGATCATGAAGCTGAATTCATTTTGAGCATTATTCCTGGAGAGGAGGGGAGAAACATGGGTTTTTCGAGTTGTTTAACTTGAATAATACTAACATTTGTCACACTCCTGATGTATTTTGTTATTGGAATGTACATGAAGATGGATTATGCATGTTTGTTGCAGGTAAATGTGTGCTCTTCAAATGGGATGCTAACTCAACAGTTCTTTCAACTAGACATTTTGCAAGTGAAAAACTGAGATATGCTGCAACTGGACCCTTCATTTTGAAGAGAAGTCCTTAGTAAATCCATGAAATTTGTACCTATGTTCTATGAAATTGATTAAGAAAATTCAGGTATTATGTGAATTGATATGCCAAGCTGTATGTTCAATGTGTAATGAGCTTCCAATCTCATCTCACAAAATCGTATGCTCGTTTATCTCCATATACAGTCAGACATCTCTATAACAACATCCTTATATAACACTTCACTATAAAAGCCAAGCTTTTCCGGAACTAATTTTCATGCTATGTTATAATATATGTTCTCTATAACAACATTTCGCTATAACATCCAAAAATATTCGAAATAAACGAGGCTGTTATAGAGAGGTTTTGACTGTAATATAAAATATTACTCACGTCTATAGGAAGTATCTCTCTTCGCGATGCATCTTAAAGGCTAAGACTTTCTCTCGACATTTATTTACTCATTACAATTGAGGTAGAGACAAATTATGCATAATTTTTTTATTTAAATCGAGACATCGATCTTGAATATTTTTCACACAAAAAAGAATGGTATTTGAAACTGATCATTACTCATTGAGCATAAAGCTCAAGGCATATTCAACAAGGAAGAAAAAAACAAAATTACAAGCACCATATCTTTATATTTTGGGATTCCTCGGATAGAATCATTCGATTATATTGACAAAAATTGATCTCGTAGATCAATGCTAGTAGAAGAAATTCCCAAATACGTGTGGAAATTATACGTTGAACCCTTCTTAATTAGCTTCATATCCTTTACTGCTAGACCAATATTCAAGCCTAAATATTCCCATATCATTAAGAATTCCCAAATAATGAGATACTAATATTTTTTTAATTTGTATATTTTTTTGTTTATCCTAAGCTTGATTAAAACGTGAAGCTAACAAGCCCTCGCAGCCAGCCAAAATAATTGGGACTATTGCCACAATTGCTGGAGCCATGATCATGACTCTAGTACGGCCAAGATAATCGGGCAAAGATCACTTTTAGCCTGCAGCCAAAAATATTTATATTCGATAGACACAAAAGTGTATAAAAATATATTTTTCGTATATAACATACAAAAAAGTATATATATACATATATAAAAAAAATATTCTAAGAATATACTATATTTTTTTCTGCGATTATTTGAGAGCGGCTATGCATAGTCATTCGCCGAGATAATTCAACAACAGGCCTCATACCAGTGTCATTGATCATGGTTCCTGCAACTTTGGCACTAATCCCAACTATTTTGGCCTGCTGTGAATGCTTGTTAGCTTCAGCTTCTGATACCTAGGATAAAAAAAATATGTACAAGTACTAAAAAGAATTAATTTCTCATCATTTTGGAGTTTTTTCTGGTGGTGGTTTGCTAGTTTTAGAGAGTCATTTGAAGGGAGTGGCAAGAATTATTGGTAGAAAAAAAGAAGAAGCCAAGAGTTAGCTGCAGATCTGTCACAAAATACCTCTCACTAATTAGGAGTTTGTTTTAGTAAATCAAATCCAGTTCATTGATATTAAAGAAGGGACATGTGTTACATATCCAAATAAGAATTTGGAAAAAATTGGAGAGAATAGAAAATAGGGAGGATTTTGGGTGGATGCAGTTTTGTCATTGTAATTTTTCTCTTTGTAGCAACTAGTCACATTTAGAGGCGGACCTAGAATGTCGGAAGCGAGTTCTGCCGAACCCAATAGCTTTAGTTGAATCTTGTATTTGTCTTTAAAAATTTATATGAATATATATAAATTATTAATTTAATACCTAGTAACTTAAAACGATTAAAATTTCGAACCCATAAGCTTGAAATCCTGATTTCGCCGCTGGTCACATTGTATCTAAGTTTGCTTTGTATCCAGAGGAAACTAGCTTACCATGCAAGGAGAATGTGTGCAAGTTCTACAAGAAAGATTTCCTTTAAAATTGTTCTCCTTGTAACTTTATTCTTGTCAATGTAATTTGCTTAATATAAGACAGTAAACCAAATTAGCCCTCTAATCCCACAATCCTAAGCCTTGCCTTCTTCTGAAATTATTGTATGATCAGGATATACAAGGTTCTGAAGATTTAATGTGAATGTAATCATTTTCAGATAAACCCCAATGAGATTTGAAGTTTGGGACGAATAAGCAATATAACAAGTATCAGATCTTTATACTCAATCTATCAATTTTCTCATTAATTTCATAAAACTTCATATCATGAAAATCCAACATTTTCATGGATTTACTAAGGATTTGCAATATATTTCACTGGTTCACTTGCAATATATATTACTGGTTCACTTGCAACGTATGTTATTGGTTTACTTGCAACATATCTCGCCGATTCACTTGCAACGTGTATCACCGGTTCACTTGCAACATATCTTATTCGTTCACTTGCAACATGTGTCACTGGTTCACTTGCAACATGTCTAGCTGATTCACTTGCAACGCGTGTCACCGGTTCTCTTGCAACATATCTTACTGGTTCACTTGCAACATATCTAGTTCGTTCACTTGCTATATCCCTAGTTGAGTTAGCACTCCATTTGAAGAGCACACATTTGCCTGCAAACAACATGCATGGTCCATCTTCATGTATTTTCCAAAAACAAACCTCAGTAGTATGACAAATATGAGTATCATTCAAGTTAAACAACTCAAAAAACCCATGTTTCTTCCCTAATTTCATGTCACAAGAAAGAGTGTTATTTCCTCCTGGAATAATTGGTACATAGAATTGATCAGTCCAACCTGGTTTCATTGAGTAATCACCACTATCATTTCCATATATATAACATCTTGCTTCCACTGTATTTGGAGTTTCATTTTTAACAATAACAACAAAATGAATAGGGGAATTTTCAGAATTAACTGATGAAATTGCTAAAAAACTAAGTATGAAAAGGCAAAGGACAAAGTGATGTGATGAGGAAAACATGGTGATTTTTTTCTTTCTTTCTTGTTATGTTTGGTTTAATTTCTTGTTAATGCAGGCCAAATTTATAGGATTTTTGTGTATTATATGGTCTTACCAAAAAGTCATACCAACTTGGATATTTATTGTTGGCTATTTTTTTTTTGAAATAAAATGAAAAATTCAACTAATTTTTGGTGTGGGCTTATTCCTTATGAACTTTTGTCCCTTGTTGAAAAACTAGGAAAATTGTGCTAAAAGAAGGAAATTAAATTCCTTAATTAACTTAGTTTTCACATCTTAGAAAAAAAAAGTATCTTGTTTGAATATAAAGTAATTAGTAAACACAACTAACCGTCAAACAAAAATGCAATTTATTGTACTCACAACATGGTAGTTGAGCTTTTCATGAATTAAGGGTCCGTTTGGCCAAAAAGAAAATTTTACTTTTTTTCAAAATGAATGTTTGTCCATGAAATTTTTAGTTTTTTCAAAAATGTGAAAAATTTCAAAAAGTTATTTTTCAAAATTTCTTCAGATTACTCAAAATTTAAAAACAACCCAAAATTATATTCACGTCTAAACAAAACTCTAATTTTCAATATTATTTTTACGAAAAAGGGTCAAATATACCGCTCTACTTTCAAATATGGTTTACTTATACTCTTCGTTATACTATTGGGTCATATATACCCCTACCGTTATACTATTGGGTTATATATACCCCTACTATCATACTTTGAAACAAAAATACCCTTATTTTGGATGGAGTGCCACGTGTCAGCACCAGATTAAACGACTCATTTTTTTTACCCAATCCATTTTAAAAAACCCACAACCCGACCCAATTTTCGTTTTTCCATTTTTTTTGTTGTAAAATCAGTTTTAAAAAAATAAAAATATTATGTTAAAGTTTTTTTATAAACTGAAAATTAATAAAAATTTAGTTTTAATAAACTGAAAATTTATAAATCAATTTTTATAAAAAAAAATCCAGTTTTTAAACTGAATTTTATTTTATTTATAAAAACTGATTTTTTATAAATCAGTTTTTTTTTTACAAAATTAGTTTTTACAAATTTTTTTACAAATCAATTTTTTCATTTTTTTAGTTTTTTTAAAAAAACTGGAAAAACAAATTTGCAAAATAAGAAATTTTTTTTTAACATAATATTTTTGTTTTTCAAAACTGAATTTAAAAAAAAAATGGAAAAAAAGAAAATTGGGTCGGGTTGTGGGATTTTAAAAAACGTGTCGGGTAAAAAAAGGGTTGTTTAATCTGACGCTGACACGTGGCACTTCATCCAAAATAAGGGTATTTTTGTTTCAAAATATGATAGTAGGGGTATATATAACCCAATAGTATAATGTAGGGGTATATATGACCCAATAGTATAACGAAGGATATAAGTAACCCATATTTGAAAGTAGAGGGGTATATTTGATCCTTTTCCATTATTTGTATTTGAAAAAAAAATCACTTTCTTCCGGAATTTTATAATTGTTATGTCCATACGCCCACTAAACTATTTTAGCTATTAATATTTTATCTACTGCTAATGAATAATATATTAGGGAAAACCATTTAATCGTTAAAACTTAATCATTTAAAGGGAGGATGAGCGTGCATGTATAATATTTAATTTCACTCGACACTTTTTTTCTTAGCTATAGTCTTTCAAGAAAATTCCACGAATTGCACTCATTTTAACGTTACAAAAAATTTATAAATACTAATTATATTACTTCCTCCGGTCCAAAATAAGTAATTTTTTGGATGTTTTCACACTAATTAAGAAATTCACCTTTTAGCATTAATTAACTATGAAATTGACCATATTAACTTTTACTATCTCACATAAACACTCCTCACATATCCCAACACTATTTACTCCAAGGACAATGTAGAAAAAAAAAATTAATTCATTCTTGAAATTTAAAAAAATCACTTATTTTGGACCACAAAAAAGACCAAAAAATTACTTATTTTGGACCGGAGGGAGTAGTAATTAATTTACATGATATGAAGGAAAACTCCAGTACTCACTCTTGAAATTTCCGAGATATACAAATATATGTTTGACATGAACTCCCTCTGTCTCGTATTAACAGCCGTTGTTACTAAAAATAGTTGTCTCAAATTATTTGTCACTTCAAAAGTTCAAGATAAAATTAATTTTTTTTTTCATTTTTACCCTTTTTTTTTTTTTTTTTTTTTTACCATGAGGATGATGTAAGGGATGGCTTGGTTGAAT